TCCGTCCAAAGGGTAAAGAAATACAGGTATGATAAATAAATATATATATATATAAGGCAAATTAAGAGATTACAGTGTTATAAAAAGGGAGAATTTCTTTACCCAGCCAGTTTACCTGTTGGGTTTATTTGAACACTCACTGTTCACAGCAGCTATCTTATCCAATTGGACTTCCTAACCAACATATTGTTGCTGAAATTTAAAGCTTAGCAGAAACGGTTGCTGCATACTATCCCAATTCAATGTACAAAGCCAGTCCCTAAACATTCAGGAGAACTATAAACTCCGCTATCCAAGACAATAGGCAAAAGGGAAGAGAGAAACTCTGCACCACGTACTATACTAAAATGGTGCAAACCCCACGGTTACTGAAAAGGTGCCTCTGAGCTCTTGTGAAGGTCTTCCCATCTCCTGTTTGAACTCCACCCGAACCACACAAAAAGAAGGCAGAGGCAGAAAAATCTTTCTCACCTTTTAAGAAGAAGAAAAGGAAAAGCAATGCGATCAGCATGCCAGACCGCCTCGCCATGGCGTTCTGAATTTGCTACTCAGCCGTAAACCTTCCTGGAAACAAAGTCAGTTGGTGGCATTTTACCCACTGGGACTTTAACGAGGGAAGGAAGGAAAGAGGCATTCATTAGACACGGGCAACCGTCAGCACCCGGGAAGCAGACTTCTGAGTTTGCCAGCTCCTTCTCTCTCTTCTCTCTTTCTCTCTAATGACAGCCCTGCCCCTTTGCTGACAGCCCCCAGCGAGGGACGGGCGCTGGTTGCCCACACGGCTGCATGGGCAGAAAAGCAGAGGCTGACACCTGTACCGTAGAAGCTGGGTTAATTTGTCTCTTATCCATGCAGGGCAGGATTAAACCCATCCTCAGAATTTCATGCCAAAGTTTTCTCTGTTCTCCTATCCGCAAAAAATAAAATAAGTCTGATGAAATGAAAACAGGATAATGGAATTGTGGTTGCTGAGCTGGCTTGCCTTCAAATAAGATTTTTGGAGCAGATGCGGCTGGCAAACCCTGTTAATGAATTAGCTGATGCTGGACCCCGGGTGATGATGATGACTTATGGCTGGAACGTGGAGCTTGGGCCAGCCGGTCAAGCCCAGGAGCCAAACAGCCCCATGGGAGCAGTTCATGAAGTTGCTTTGTGGAAATAATTCATGGTGGGGGGGGGAGGTTGTGTAGTAGTGGGTGTGTTTAAAGCAGAGAAGTCAAGTCCCATTTTTTCTCTCTCTCTTAATAATAATAGTAATAAAGTTGGAAGGGACCTTGGAGGTCATCTAGTCCAACCCCCTGTTCAGGCAGGAAACCCTATACCATTTCAGACAAATGGCTGTCCAGTCTCTTCTTTAAAACTTTCAGTGTTGGAGCACTCACCGCTTCTGAAGGCAGGTTGTTCCACTGGTTAATTGTTCTAACTGTCAGGAAGTTTCTCCTTAGTTCTAGGTTGCTTCTCTCCTTGATCAGTTTCCATCCGTTGCTTCTTCTCCTGTCTTCAGGCGCTTTGGAGAATAGCTTGACTCCCTCTTCTCTGGGGTAGCCCCTGAGATACTGGAACACTGCTATCATGTCACCCCTGGTCCTTCTCTTCATTAAACTAGACATACCCAATTCCAGCAGTCGTTCCTCTTGATGAGAGGCACACTTGCAAGTCCTCCCAGAAAAGTCTTCGGGATGGTCTGAGGCCAACGCCCCGATAATGACGAGGATGCTATCCATTCACATCATGTCCAACCCTTGGCGATTCTGTGGGTCAGGTCACTCCACATCTTTCTTCTACAGGTAGTCCTCGACCTTACAGCCGCAATTGAGGCCAGAATTCATGTTGCTAAGTGAGACATTCGTTAAGTGAGTTTTGCCCCACTTTGCGGCTTTTCTTGCCGCAGTTGTCAAGCGACACCCTGCTTAGTAAGGCTGTTGTTAAGTGAATCTGGCTTCTCCATTGACTTTGCTTGCCAGAAGGCTACAAAAGGTGGTCACATGATCCCAGGACCATCATAAATATGAGTCAGTTGCCAAGTGTCTTTTGATCGCGTGACCCTGGGGATGCTGCAACCGTCATAAGCGTGAAAAACAGTCATGTTACTTTCTTCAGGGCTGTTGTAACTTTGAACGGCCACTAAACGAACTGTGGTAAATCGAGGGATACCTCTATTTCTTTGAGTTTTGTGAGGCTCTGTGTGGTGTCTGCTTTGATGATGTTCTTTGGCATCCTGGTTTCCTTTTACCGCTTACTCTTCCAAACAGAATTGCTTTCTCCAGTGAATTCCCCTGCATCCCAGGGCCAAAAATAAGTGAGACCCAGTTGTGTGATTTTGGTCACCCCAACAGGTGTTGTCCTGTCTGATAAATTGATTAAATACACAGAATAAGAAGCATTGATTGGACTTAGTTTACCCTTACATGTCCATGCAATAAATCCATGTGTTGCCTTTGTTGTTCCTCAGCCATTTTTTGAAGCGTGGGTCCTTCTATGTCAGCAAAATTGTAATGTGGTCTTTGGCCTTACAAAAAAAAATTTGTGACCCTCTTTTTTGAATGACCATCTCCAGCATTCTTAGTGACCTCTCTTAAGGCCGGTTCTGTGTATAAGAAAGATGCTTTGGTCCTTTGTCTGGGCTTTGTGAGACGGACTGAAAAGAGTTGTGTTGATTTTGGAGAATGAGAGTTAAGATTTGCGGGATGTTGCTTTACTTCTAACCTCCTCTTTTTAGGAAATGAATATTTTTGTTTATGTCAACCCCAGGCAGCTGAAATCCTTCATCACACACACCCCACCCCACATTTTTCAAAAGCAGAGCGTCTCTTTTTATTGTAGGTACTGGTTTTTTTTTCTTCTTCTTCCTTTGCAGATGTGAATAATTGATTTATCTGGTTCATCAAAGTTCATGATTTCATAATGCTTTTTATTTATTTATTTTTGAGAGCCTCGTATTCCATAGCTTTGTTTCCTACAAATCGGAGCCCAACAGCTGCTTTTAGGAAAAGGTATAGGGAGAACCTATCACAGATTTAAGTCACCTCAAGGTAGACCTTGAGCTAAAAGGGAATGTAAAGTTTGTGATTTGGTTCTCCTGCTAT